CGCCTGTGAACCTGGTGGTCCTCCTGGTGTCCACCTCGATCCATTGGTTCTGCGCATCGTCCTCGGCACACCACGCCCCGTCGTAGTAGTCGTCCTCGACAGCACCCGCCTGCCAGGCAGCGGGAGGCTGAGCGGGTGGAGGAGCCCGGCCGGCCAGGAGAGGGGCCCCTCCCAGCACCCACCTGCATGTTGAGCCGGCCCCGCTGGGCGCCCAGGCCATGGCGCAGCATGGAGGAGGCTCGAATCTGGTTGTCCTCGATGCGGTGCGACTCCATCCCGATGGGGGGGCACTCTGAAGACAGACCCCAGGCTGGTGGCCCGTGGCTCCATTCCTCCCTCCACCCACCTCAGAACTGAGGACCCCAGAGCCCTCTCTCCTCATGTCGGGGAGCCAGCCAGGACAGCTCCACCCTGGCCTCAGCCTTCCCCAGAGAACAGGCTGATGACGCCCTGCCCCAGGGCCGTGGTGCACAGGACATCCCGGGACAGCCATCCCAGGGCCCAGCCACCCCAGGCCTCATCCACACGGGTGTCTGCACACCAGCCTGTGCCATGAGCTCTGTGCCCTGGGGTTGGGCCCGGGGCAGAGCCACTCCAGGCCCCAAGAGCTTACGAGCAAGAAACGGTTCTAGAGGCCTGGAGTGCCGGCAGGAAATCCAGGTTGGGGACCTACGTGTGCCCTCGGGTGGGTCGGGTGCCCCAGGCCCGCCCTGCACACCCTGTGCCCACACTCCCAGGCCCCTTACTCACTGATTTTCTCTGCTGGAGCCCACTCTTCCTCCTCGCCCTTCCAGGGCCCTGAGGACAACAAGAGAGGACTTGGTGCCGAGGGTCCTGGGGCCCAGGAGCCCAGAGTTCTGCCACCAGGACCTGGCTGAGTGGCCCAACCCCAGCCCCAGACACACCTTTGTGGTCCTTGCCTTTCTCCAGCGTCCACTTGTCATCGGTCTCCTCCCGCTTGGAGCTGCTGCCCTCCTTTTTGGGTTTCTCTGGAAGGTGGAAGGGGAGGACCTGTCCCTCAGCCCCAGGCTTCCCGGGGCTTGTGGGGGCAGCAGGCTGAGCTGGGCAGGTAGGGGGAGGCAGGGGGAGGTGGGCAGGGGCAGCCTGGT